CCACTAGGTAGCTGCCATAATACTAGATTCTGGATGCTCAAGACCCAGTTCTGATCCATAACTCATAAACCCAGGGGTTTCCTAGACAGCCTTTGCAAGCAAACGTTTCACACATTTCAATCACTACCTCAACCAACAGCTAACAGCAGGACGGGGCAAGTAAGTGTTTAGGGAGGGACTGATGAGCTATAGCTGGGCAGTCATTTCAAAGTCAGCCAGGTGGACCCAATATTTTGAAACTTGACATAGTAATCAAGTGCTGGCATTCACCTGCATATAGTAAGTACTTAATATATGCTTGCTGATTAAAAAGGTAATAAGCAGTAGAGGAACAATATGAAAATTGATATTAAAAATAGCCCACATTAGGCCGGGCGCTGTGGCTCACGCCTGTAATCCTAGCTCTTGGGAGGCCGAGGCGGGCGGATTGCTCAAGGTCAGGAGTTCAAAACCAGCCTGAGCAAGAGCGAGACCCCGTCTCTACTATAAATAGAAAGAAATTAATTGGCCAACTGATATATATATATAAAATTAGCCGGGCATAGTGGCGCATGCCTGTAGTCCCAGCTACTCGGGAGGCTGAGGCAGAAGGATCACTCTAGCCCAGGAGTTTGAGGTTGCTGTGAGCTAGGCTGACGCCACGGCACTCACTCTAGCCTGGACAACAAAGCGAGACTCTGTCTCAAAAAAAAAAAAAAAAAAAAATAGCCCACATTCAAATTGTCCCATCCTTCTCCCTCTAGACAAATGGCTCCCAACCAATCTCCCTTCAAGGAGCAATGGTGATATCTGGAGACATTTTCAGTTGTCACAACTGGCTAAGAATGCTGCTAAACATCCTAAAATGCACATGAAAACCTCCACAACAAGGAACTATCCAAAATATCAATAGTGCTGAGGTTGAGAAATCCTGCTCTAGAGGAACCATTTTTAAGCCATCTTGTTTGAAGGGGGTGAGATATAAGAATATGCAGATTTTGCGGAAAAGCCTCTTCTCTTGTTCTGTAACAAATAAGCATTTAGAGTATAGAATTCTGACATTGGAAAGAACCTTAGAGATTATCTAGCTCAAGCACAGTAGGAAAAAGTAAGGTCCAGGTCATCTGCCCAAGTTCACAGAAGAAATGATCAGCTGGACTGAAAGTATATCTTTACACACCCCAAATGTGTTATACATTACAGATTAGATGCGTAGTAATGGTCAGATAAATTGATATCTTGTTATTTTTTATTACAACATACAATTCACTCTGCTGCTAGGAAGTCCAACCGCTGAGACTGTGAGTGAAAACTTATTCCCACTCATAATCCCCTTCCTCAAAAACAAGCCCAGAAGGAGAGAAGAGCGTATCATTCTACAGCTCAAGACCAAGTGGCCAGGCAGAAAATGTTTTTCAGCTGTTTCCAAGAAAGCTCATGCCTTTTACCCAGGCAGAGGTTCTACACAAAACCTTCTCAGTAGGCAAATGAGCCCTTGTGCAAGACCATGAATATGTGAACTCTCCACAGTGCAAATGAGCCCTTGTGCAAGACCATGATTACGTGAACTCTCCACAGTGCAAATGAGCCCTTGTGCAAGACCATGATTACGTGAACTCTCCACAGTGCAGTGCAGCAGCTTTCCTAACACACTGGGGGAATCCTAACCAATGGCAAACAGACAGAAAATCGGTGCCACTGTAATGGAATCACAACGATATCCAAACAAGCTAGAGAACTTTCATTTCTAAACAAACAGAACAGACAGGAATTCTGGGATCAAAGTACAGATGGTTAATCCAGGGGCATGCTGAATGTTAGTCATCAAAACAGCCCTGGCTTAAGGGAGGAGAGCAAAGAGTGGAGAATTGCCCTTTCAAAAAAGAAAATATTCACCACAATGTTTCAAAACCTAGGTGTTTTAGAACTTAGTATAATGAGGTAGAAGTCAAAAGGTGTGGCACAGGAGGGTGGGGCAAAGATGCCAGCTATGTGGAAAGAAAGATCCTGCAAAGGGAACATTATGCAGAGAAACCCAGGGCAGGTCTCTAGGAAATAAATCACAACTTCAAAAAAGCCAAAGTAAGGTTCTTCAAATTAAATAAACCTGTTCCAGTGGGTACAAAGAGAGTTTCTAAAACTGCTGCAAGGTTATTATTAATTTTTATCACACCTGAGAACAGTGTCTAAATATTTACTCCCATCCCACAAAGGGCTACAGGACTGCTATTTCAGCCTCCTCTTTCACGCCCCAGGCTACATGTTCTCCAAGACGATGTGTCACACCAAAACCTCCTACTGAGAGGGCAGAGGATTAGCTTCGTGACTGGCTCCCGCTTTCAAAGCAGCACAGGTGCCAGAAGCATGCAAGTGAAATGGCACAAAGAAGCAATTACCACAAAGCAACCACGAAATTCACCTGCTCAGCTTCCTGGACTGTCACAGATCTTCAAACATCTGAGTTAATAGTATAAATATGACTGTCAAAAAACAAAACAAAACAAAAAAAGAATAGGATCTGAGCAAACATTAACAGAATAATGCTGTTCATGATGAGGACATAGACACTATGCACCAGACACTGTGCATTAGGTATACACATATACATGAAGACACAGTCCCTGTCCTCATTTACAGTCTAAAGAAAGCCCTTGCTTAAAAAAAAAATTGCAGTAGCTATTATCCTGTTTCTCTTAATGTAGGACTTCTAAACTACCTCTCCCAGTGGACTGAATTTGAGTGAAGGAGGAATATATGAACAACCTAAGATGTTAATCAATGGCACAAAAATATTTCCATACACGTGCCCATCTTGCTGTGATATGACCATAAAGCTGTTCCTTACGGTCAAGCCAGGGTTCTCCCAGCTCTCTACTCCTTGTCTCAACAGATGTTTGCTGCAACAACGTGGTTCAGAATGATAGCCCCCACGGCAAAGCCGTCTCTATATGGGCTCAACCCAGAAGACCCCCTCGACAACTTTTTAAAATTAGAGGGCCCAAACAACTACTCATATCTGAACACATAAATAACTCATCAATCTAACAGCAACATAAAAATTGACATTGCACCATTATTTGTAATACTGAAAAACTGAAAACTTGAATATCCAACAATTGGGCAGGAGTTAAGTAAATAATGACATATTCTAATGATGGACTCTAATAAAGGCATCAAAATGTTTTTAATGTCATGAAATAAGCTTATGATCAATGTTAAGCAAGATAATGATGATATCAAGTCATTATGATATAAGCTCAGGTAAATAATGAGTGTTAAGATTATGGGAAATATCTTCTACATCATTACATTTCTTCATACTTTCCAATGATTTTTATCATAAATATGAATAACTTTCATAATCAGAAAAGATGAAGTTTTTCTTTTTTAGAAAACAGCATTTAATGATGTTTAGATTATAAGCACAAGGACCCTGCTACCTCTCCATTTCCCTGGGAGATGCAAGACAAAAAAAAAAAACTGGTCTGGGAGTCTGTTGCTATGGCAACAAATCTTTTTTTTCCTTAAATGCATGAGAAGTCTAACGAAGCTGGGACTTATTTTTACTCTGCCCATAATATGGACCCTTGACTTGAGTCACTGATGTCAGGCTGCTCCTGTTCAGACTAGACTCAGAATAAAGTCAGAATGCTCAGAGGAGCTAAGCTGGAGTCTTCTGATTCCAATGCTGCATTTATCGAAGCTTCCTTTCTCTCTCAAACAAGCTGCGGACATTAATTCAGCAGTCACACTGTGGGAAAGACCTTTCCTCAAATTTCAATTCCATCTGCAATAGTTCCTTTAACCAAACGCTGAATGCCTACTTTCAGAAAGACAAAGTCAAACCCCTATTCCAAACAGCTACTCTTTTAGTGAAAATGCTTTCAACATAGCAGAAGAGCCTGAATCTTTTAATTCTTTCTCAAATCAGCTGTCACACTCAGATTGATTTCCATTAGCTCTGCTGTTTACAGCTATTTTGAGCAAAAGTATCAGGGTAAGACCAGGAAGTTTCCTTCCTATTTCTCCCCAGAGGGTTTGTGTCAGTTATAACTTGAGTAGTCAAGTATCAACAACAAAAAGACACCAATGCCTCTTTCCACATGAGCTTATAGTATAGCATATATCACCAGCTCACATAGAAAATTCTACAAAAAATTATTTTTCAAAGCCATAAGAACAAAAACAACATTCTAAACAATATTAATACAAATATCTTTAACTCACTAGAGAACTCATTTCTAAATCTACACATTCGGGGACTTCCAGTCAGACAAGAAAAGAGGAAGTTAAATAACAAAATGTACTGCGTGTGCCCTTTAGGCCAACGAGGTGAAGAAACATTGGAGGATTAACACGTAAACCCACATCTAAAGATGTAAGCTCTGCGGTAAAAGCTTGGGGATTTATGGTCTTTCCATCACTAGCAACTGCTGCAAAAGAAAGCATGGCTATTTGAAAAAGGAAAAAGAAAAGGTGCTCTGTTTGCTCAAACCACTATGCTGGGACAGGCTTATTACTACAACTGAGAGTAGGTCTCTCTCCTGTATTTGCTTCACTATTTTTAATAAATCGTAAAATGAGAGCATTACACATTTGGTTTTTGGGTAAGGAGAAATGACATGAAGCCCAAGGGACCCAGTTCTTGTTCTTTTGGATTAAGAAATTTCTTTTTGAAAGTTTTGACTTAAAATTTAAAAAGAAATCAACAAAATATTATCTAAGAGGGCTTATGAAATCCAGAACTTAAACTGTATTCTTTATCTATTCAAAAGCAAACCAGAAAACCTATAGTAAATACACAAATTGAAAGGAAAAGAAGGCTATGGTCAACAAAAATTGTCAAAGAATCACTTAACATTAATTGAAAATGAAAAGCAGCAGCAATAATAAAATCCTACCACTACCCCGTGACATATTACAAAGGCATAATTGCAGGGCAAGTTTCCGCCACACATGAGGGAGGATGGGAGTAAGGGGAGTGTTGGACAAACTGAAGACAACCACCAGGGCAACCTTACGCTGATGGATGGCCACAGCTGAAGGCAGATTTGGCTCATCTCTGGGGTTTTCCACTGGGGAGAGACCTGCAGTTCAGCCATCAATGGACCAGCATTCACAAAGCCTGTGGGGAAATACAGGATCCAGAAGAGTGGGGTAGGGAAGGAGAAAGTTTGGGAAAGGGAAGAGTCAAATACAATAGCGAAATATTATATTTATTAAACATGAGGCTTCAAAAATGCATAGATGTACCTTTTAAGTTGAATGGACTGGCTGAAAAGAACCGGTACTCTGGAAAGCAGTCTGATAATGCTTTTTAAAATACTGAGTTACATTTTAATGACATCTATGAATTATAGCAACACCTGCCAAAAGGAAATTATTTTTTGTTTTTGGAAAAAAGAGAAAAGCAATATAATCTATGCAATTTTTACAGTTGGTAACTTTACTCAAACAATGAGAGTCCTTTACCCATGGCCTCTGTGGGAAGTAGCAGCCTAAAAGCAAATATACTCACACTACATAGAAAACCTCTGCTGGCCTAGTTCCACTAATTCCATCAATGTAGCAAGGGCCCAAATGCAGGTGACCCGATTGACAAAAAAAGCACTACCAGAGAGGGCTGAACTTGTATCATGTAACTTATCAAACACTCCTATAATGAAGAAGAAAACTAGTAGCAATAGCTTGGGAAGGTTTGACTTTAAATGAAGCAGCAGCAACTTTCCTTACAAAACACTTTTCAGGTTCAGAGTAGAAGAAACCAGATCCAGTGATTCTCACCCCCCTCACCCAATGCTAACCTATCTGAAGTTGTTGGGGAGAACAAACCCAATCAATATGACTAGTTAAAATGATGTTTGGCACAAGGAAAAATAGGCTCACTGAGATTACCCTAATGATCAAGAAAAGACTAAGCTATACCATGTTTTAAGACTACAGACCTCAAAATTCTCTCTATACATCTTCTGTGTTATCAATTCAAGACGTTCAGTTGTAGATGACACAGCTCAACATAGATACACTGTATCTAAGGCTTCCTAGAATTTACAGGGTGGGAAATTATTTTCTGAGAAATCAAACGATAAAACACTCCTGGCGGTGGCCAATACTCAAATATAGATTCAACAGAAGCCAATTTGCCTACTCACACACCCTAATTATATAGGTTATGAATGAGTGGTTACATTACTTCCTGGGACTAATTGTTGTTTTAGCACCAGTCAAGATCCTTTACAAGCACACAAGATTGTATCTGCCTAAAAACCCTTCTTATCTCTGGTCCAAAATAATTCGAATACTGTAACGAGAAAGAATGCCATTTATGTCCTTGCCTTTTCATGCTGGGAACCTGCCTTTCCTTGCTCTGCTCTATCACAGGGAACTACATCTCCCAGGTTCCCTTGCCCTCTGACTTCTAGATAAGTTCTGTTGACTGGAGGCATTGGGCAGGATAAGAGGTAGGAGCTGTGAGAAGCCCAGGTAATGCTCTCTCTCTTATTCAGACTGGGTTCCAGCTGCCATGAGGCAGCTCCTCTTTCCATGCTTCTATCTCATACCATACAGCTCAGGCTTCTAGGCCTTGGTGACACTAACATCTATACCTTCTATTTTCCTTAGTGGTGTAGTAGCTCCCAGGCATTGCTAATCTCTGGGGTGCCACACCAGCCTGTGTTTAGCTTCTTGGCTCTTACGTCAGCTGCATAACCTATTCTGTATATTAAATTCCCTCTGCTTATACAACCAACAGTGATTTCTGTTCCCCTGACTGGTCCCTGACTGACATAGAGCCTTCTAAACAATTTGAAAACATTTTTCAGAAAATTAATAGCTTTCTTAAGAATTAAAATAATTATTCAGATAATCTATATAAAAAATTTCTTCTAATATGGAACAAAAGGCTTATAGATGATAAAACCAATTCATTCGTTCAAACAACTATTTACTGAAAGCCTGGTCTGTGCCAAGCACTATTCCATGTGCTAGGTATACTATAGTGAACAAAACAGGCACAAACCCCCCTGCTCTCGTGGAGCTTACATTCTAGTGGACAGGTCAAGTGTGGCAAATCATGATTTTAAAAATTAACCAATACAGGAATACTGTTTAACAATAGAGGAATTTGGTAAAAGTGAATTAACTTTAAGGTGTTCTACTCTACATAGACTTGGTTCCTACCTTTTCAATGTGGTATGCTGAACTGTCACATTCCAGGGGCCAATACAGAACTTCTTCAAAGTTAGTATCTACTTAAACTGGCCACTTGCTCAAACAGAAGTACAACTGTGATAAGGATTTAAGCAGACACAATAAGAAAAGTTAGGCAATGTATGCTTAGAATGTAAAATTGCTTGGCATCTTTTTCATGGGGGATATTTGGAGGCATTGAGTATGACTCAATAAGTAGCTTTATCCCTTCTCTATGGCACAGGTAGATTCTATCAACATAACATACAAAGCCAGCTGCAATGTACATAACTAGTAGAGTGCTGCAGTCCACCAACTGCATGACATTATTTCCAAGATGGAATTTTCAGGCAGAAGAACAGAAACAGACAATGACTCATATGGTGAACAGTTATATAGACAACTGTGCCCAAGAAAGCTGCCACCTACATACCATAATGACATCAGATAAAAAATGCAGAAGGAAGGTAGTTTTCTGATTTATCTGGAAACAAAAGATTTGCTGAAAAGTATACTGAGAGATAAGACTATAGCTACCTGTTTACATATCCTAAGCACTGAGAAATAAAGGACACACATCAAATATTCAAAATATGACCTGCTTGAGCATAAGAGCAGTTTAGCCTCAAAAATCATTATCATTAGCTCCAGAAATGACATAATATCTACTAATGGCATTTCACTAAACTTTTCTCAGATAATTTAATGTCCCATAAAGGTACACTTCAGTGGAGTTCTTGTGGGCACAATACTTATTATTCAGCAATTAGACAGCATTTCATGCCTGCAATATTTATAATTCCATTTAAGTAGCAGGTAGACCTACAATATTAGGGATTTCTTACACAACAGGGAGTCTAAAGCATAGTGCATATTCATAATCTCAATACCACAGAGCAAGTCAACTACAGAGCTATGGTTTCAAACTTATTGGCTCCTGACTACCTATCAAACTTTAGCCCTTATCACTCCCCAACATGTAACCAAAACATACTAATAAATCACAATCAATCAATCTCTCTCTCTCTCTCTCTCTCTCTCTCTCTCTCTCACACACACACACACACAAACACAAACACACACACATTCACACAATACAGCACACCTTGGAGGCTCTCACATTGTTTCCTCTTCCTAGAATGTAAAGTCCCCTTAATTTCCGTGGTAAAGTCATGCTTATCATTTAAGACACAGCCTAATTGTTTCTTTGAATCCATGACTTCCTAAGACTTGTTTGCCCTCTTCAATGCTCTCATTTCTCGCTATGTCCAATGCCATAATAATAATTACTACATTGCATCATTTATCTGTTTACACATCTGCTTCCCCATTAGACTGTAAGATATTTAAGAACAAAGACCCTATCTTTTTTTTTTTTTTGCTACAGTACAGAAGTAATCCTATCTTTTAATCTATATGTCCTGATACAGTGTCTGACACAAAGTAGGTGTTTGAGAAATATTTTCTGAGTGAATATGTGTAGAATGGGATCTCAGGCTTATGAAGAGTTCTCCCTAAAAGATTGGTATTTGGTACTATCTCACTGCCACAGAATGATATTTAAAGGACAAGGAGAACAAATAGGAAAGTGTCTCCTAGGGAACAGGTTTAACAATGTTGATATTAAAGACAATCTAATGAGGACTTTGATAAATTACTTTCAGTAAAACTGTGTCAATCTAACCATGACTGTCAGAGTTACGGTGTATTAGCTACAAAAACCCAGAAAAATTATTTGATCTTGGCTGGAGAACAGCATTTAACAACTAGAAATGGAAGCAGAACTTCTGTTGTCTAGATCTAATGGGAATTTTTTACTTCTCAAAAGATGCCACAGATAAAGCTATTATTTAAAATTGATAGGAAAGTTCATGTTCTAAAGAATATTTAACAATCAATGATTTAGCTATCAATGGAAAACAAATGTAAAACAAAGCTAGAGATTAATTTACATGAGTTAAAATTTAGGACTATTATTAGAAAATTTCTACACAAAGAAATTCTCTAGTCTAACCTTTTATACAAGTTTGAAAAGTCAGGAAACATCCAGAGACCATCCTCAGGAGTACCATTTGCAAAAATGCCAGAACTCCCATATATAGGAAATGGGTTTGGCTTAAAGGCTAGGGAATTATTGGGTGAGTCATTCTAACTGTGGCTTCTAGTAACCAGAGTTTTTTTAAGGGAGTAAAGTCAAAACTGAAACTAATAAAATCAAGACAAAATAAATATGATCAACAGTGGTAGAAATAAATAATGCATATGTTTGAGTAACACATTAGTTTACAAGGCACTTCCATTTTTCAAACTAGAAAAATTAAGTAGACTTCATGTTGGAACATCCTGTTAAACTCCTTTACCCTGCTTGTTGTAGCTTTCTGACCTTTAGCACATCACCTAACTTTCATGAGCTTCATTCTTTCAAGGTATTTTCTAAGGCTATCCCCAGGTTATCTTGGTTAAATTCAAATATATTCTTAAGTAATTTAGAAGACAGCTGCTTTCATCAAAGACATCTTAAAAAGCGTCCTAGGCTCATAAGGCACACATAAGCCCACCTCTTAGTTGGCAAAGAAACAGAATAGTGGAAGAGACTGTAGACTTGATGTTGGAACATCCAATCACACTTTTATGTGCCTAAGGGTCTAGGACACTTCAATGTGCATAGAGAATGTTCTCCATTTTATACCGTTAATTGAAAAATGCAGGCGTCAAGAACTGTGGGTAATATGCTACTACTTGCATAAAAGCACTGCAAAGGACTATATTTAAATGTAGTTGTTTGTCTATGCATATATTATCTCTTAAAAGTCACATAAGAAATTGTCAACAGTAGTTACCTCCAGGGAGGGAAAATGGTGGCTAAGGGATCAGAGACAGCAAAATGACTTTTCACTGTACACACTCCCTTTTGGACCTTTGAATTTTGAACCATATGAAAGTGCTACTTTTTTTAAAAAAGTAAATTTAAATTTAAAAATATATAATAGGAGTTGGAGAGGCAGTGGTTAGGTGATTTGAGGTGAAACACTGCAGACAGGATGTAGCAAAAGGGAAAAGTAAAAAATTATTACAAAGTTTCTGTCAGACTCCAGAATTGTTTGCGGTGTTTTCCAGTCTGAAGTACAATACATATTCCTCAAGACCATCAAATTTCTTCCATTCTAGTTATTTTCTCATTAAGCAGCTCTCAATTCCTCATAAATCTTGACACTGAGAAAGGACTGTTCCAATAGTGGACATAAGTATATCATCGGTCATCAGGTACAGTCAATCCACATCTGTGAGTTCAACCAACCATAGATCAAAATTATTCCAGATAAAAATGGATAGTTGTGTCTTTACTGAACACGTGCAGAAGTTTTTTTCTTGTCACTTTTCCCTACACAACACATAGTGTAACAGCTACTAACATAGCACTTATACTGCATTAGGTATCATAAGTAATCTAGAGATGATTTAAAGTATAAGGGAGGATGTGCATAGGTTATATCAAATACTACACCATTTTATATCAGGAACTTCAGCATTCATGGATTTGGGTACACTGGTGGGGGCAGGGGCTCCTGGAACCAATCTTCCACAGAACCCAGGAATGCTGTAGGTCCTTTCACGGTGAATGAAATAGTGTCTAATTTAAACTACAATCTCTGAAGAGGTGGCTTAGCCGTTATTCCAGGCACGCTGATAAAATCTGGAACTGCAGAGCTAGAGACTAAATCTTGGACCAGTATGATCCCAAGTAGGAGGGAAGTATGACCCATACTCAAAAATGGAACCCGGCCTCAACTAGCCAGAGTTACCATTGACACATCTGGAATTTTCAGTAGTTTTGTCCTCTATCACTACTTACTCAGTCCAAAAATTTGTCCTAAAGGTCACATTAACTTGAGGGCTTTGAGTGATAAGGAAACCACATCTTGGGCCTACAGAAAGTCAGAGAATTTTTTCTTTTTAAAGGCAGTACCAAAGTAGCTTCCTTTTCCACACTGAAATCACGCCAATGCCTTAGCAGTCCCAGAAACTAGTGAGCCTTGTGCTCAAGAGAGTTAAAAACCCCAGGACCAACAAAACTTCTATTAAGTAAAAAGAATATATGCTTCTTCTCTACTGTGATGTTTAAACCACATATTTAAGAGTCGATTAATAAAGAAATAGCATTTCTAAGTATAATATTTTAAAAATAAAGTCATTATCAAAGAGTTATTTGGGGACATTGTAAAAATACCTGCTCATAAGTCTGTGGTTCAGGCTACATCATCTGACTGAATATTAATGGATGAGCACCCACTCACCATAATCCTGTACAATTAGCTCTCAATTTTTAAAGAAAGGACACAAGGATAACTGATACATTGTCATCTCATTTTTAATACAATGGCCAAGTCACTGAAGCCACCATGGCAAAATGTAAAACTGACTTTTTTTTTTTTTTTTTGAGACAGAGTCTCACTTTGTTGCCCAGGCTAGAGTGAGTGCCATGGCATCAGCCTAGCTCACAGCAACCTCAAACTCCTGGGCTCAAGCAATCCTGCTGCCTCAGCCTCCCGAGTAGCTGGGACTACAGGCATGCGCCACCATGCCCAGCTAATTTTTTTCTATATATATTAGTTGGCCAATTGATTTCTTTCTATTTATAGTAGAGACGGGGTCTCGCTCTTGCTCAGGTTGGTTTCCAACTCCTGAACTCAAACAATCCACCCGCCTCGGCCTCCCAGAGAGCTAGGATTACAGGCGTGAGCCACCGCGCCTGGCCAGTAAAACTGACTTTTGAAAAGAAATTGTTTCAGGATCCAGGATTCTACCACCAACACCAGTTAAATAAAGTTTACAAGCCAGCACTTACCAGTTCTCATTAAGAAGTAACTAGTATTTCATTACCTGATGCCCAGTAAGACTATGGATAAAAAAGCAACGGAAAATTTGAAGGAAGAAGTGGTGAATCAACCTCTCTCTTCCATATGCCACATTTTAT